GATTTATTATTTAAAAATGATTGTAGTTGTTGTAAAATTGCCGAAAATTTTTATTCCGGTCGCGTTTCATTGACTTGTTCCCACGTAATGTACGTGAATTGTATGTGTTCACATGAAACATTACATTTATCACAAACTGACAAACTGATAGAATATGTTGTCGTTCCAAATGATTATAATTATATATACACCGAGTGTATGTGGCGATGACATTGACGACAATATTCGTGAATCGCACGAATTCGTCAATTGAATGGCCCATGCCAGCCCAAGGCCAATTGGATTCATCTACTATTTACCTTCCTTATGATTTACCTCATGCCACCTAATTATATTCCTAGCGAACACGTGCGCTTCACCAGTTTTCAAAAGAAATTTGCAACTGATTTTGAACTTGCCACAGAAAAAAAGAAGAGACAATTGCATAAACACACGGCCAATTTTGCAAGGTCAACCAAATCATGTGCATTCATTAATATGACGTGCTCTCTCTCTCTCTCTCTCTCTCTCTCTCTCTCTCAAAACGGTCACAATGCGAATGAAACAGAAGAAGAAAAATAAAAGTAAAAACGACACAACAACTGTAACCATTTATGGGCCGAGAGAATCATAAACAACAAAACAGTAAGCATAATGCGAATTGAATGACAAACTTACCCAGAGATGTGTCGATGTGCCAAACAAAGTAAATTAACAACGACCAAGTTCAGTTCATGTAATTTTGTCTTTTTTTTATGTGGTTTTTCTTGTTGTTGTTGTTGATTTTATTTGTATATTTCATAGAAATTACAATAATATGATTTTGGAAACTCAATTTTAACAAATATCCTCGCTCGTTTAATTTTGTTCATGTCATTTTTGCGGTTTTTTGGGTTCACTTCATGAGTATGTGTATGTGTGTGTGTGTGTGTGTGAGTCTGTGTGTTTTTTTCTCCATTTTGTCTTCATTTGTATGTTCAGTAATGATTTTGAATTTCATTAAATATATATACTTTTTTTTAACATATAAATATAATTTTTTGTTGTTTTGTTTTCATTTTATTAAATATGTACAAATTCATTCGATTTTGGTTGTTCGTTTTTCGATTGAGAGAATTGCAATTTTAAGTGCAATGGAATGAGAAGGAAGTGCAAAAACGGAGACGGCCAAAAACACATTGAGATCGTTGGGTGCGATTTACTCGTATTTTGTTGTTATTATTTCAATTGTCATATCGAGAATTGATGTCAATGCATTGCAATAATGATGTGAAACTGATTCGCATTAATGTAGTCTCGTTTTTTTCTTGGCCATATGACCAATTTTGTTGTTTTTTTTTTCGAATTGCAACTCAATTTGTCTGTGACCGGTTTCAACGCGTTTTTGCACCACAAAAATAGTGAAATTATTTTTCTAAAAACTAATTGAGATAATTTTAGTAACACATAATATCTCTTTGTATACAAATCTATTCAAATGACAAAATTTTAATTTAAAATTTCATACATGAGACATTTTATTTTTGGTTTGGCATTGTTTTACCATTTTAGAACTATAACAATGTTTAAATTTTTTTAGATAAAATATGATCGCGGAAATGGTTTGAAAAAGGATTTAAATAATTTGATTAGTCGATCGTTGTGATACATTTTCTCTCTTCTTCTCTCTCTCTGTGTGTGAATATGCAATTTTGTTATTTTCAATTCAAAATTGTGTTCTTTTTCTATTCAGGATGCATAACAGTCGATAGCATGGCACAGAAAAATCATCCATTTTGAACCACACTTCGAAATGATCCACAGAATTACAAATGTGAGGTGCTTATGTTTGTACCAAGAGAATATTTCTGCTGCATTGTATTCGATACAGATTTCCAGCAGCAATAAAAAGAGTCTATCTGAACATTGGAATCCAATATTATAAGAAAATTGAAAAAAAATATTTCATGTAGCGGTGAATGAAAATTTGCATCGTCGATTAGGGATGCAACACGAACGAAAGGGTTTCTGAAATTATTCATGACTCGGTACGGCATCTAATTTTCTTCGTTTCGTTAATCCCAGGGAAATAAGTTTGGCATTATTTTATGGTAGCGGTTGTTTGGTAGATGAACTACATACGTGTTATTTTAGTTTTGAACTGCGATCATTTATTTTGTGGCATATATCAATGAGCTTGTATTCACTTATGAGCTACGAGCTTCCGTGCGCATCTAACTATGACTGAATGCATTAAGCCATTCTATGTTTGTTTGTTATTCCTATACTGGAAAATTCCCGTGCGCCCAATGTTGCGCCAGAATGCCTGTAATTTCGATCAGTAAATTGTATGCATAATAAGAAATGGAATGCAGTCGATGGAGAGAAAGGATGGATCAAATGCATATATTCCATGTGTATATACATCGGCGATGTTTCCTATTTGGAATGGTATTGGCTGTGTTTTTCATTGATCGCTTCTGAAGTTCGATGTGTGTGTATGTGTGTGTACGTGTGTGATTTTCATTTAAATTCTTTTCGTTCGTCTTTATTTTTTTATTGCGTTGATTTTTATGCGCTTCAACAAAACGGCCGATATCATTGATCAGCTTTTATTCATTTTATGTCTCGGTTATTTATCGGTTTGGTCCCAGTGCGCAATGGTTTACGATTTTCTCATCATTTTCTCTCTTATCTTTTCTTTATTCCAATGCGGCATTGTATAATTCTTTTTTTTTTCTTTAACGATTTTTGCCTTTGGTGCTTGGGCGCCCGAAATGACTTTGCTTCATATCATATCATATCATCTCTTCCAGTGCTTTACAATACACTTCCACCTAAGCTATTTTCACATAAAGTCTCAACAATTTTATTGCCTTTGCGTCGTAAACCAAAATGCAAACGCATAACGATTCACTGTCACAACTGTGTTGTCGGTGCATGTTTATTCTTTTTTGGCGATCGATCTTTTTCTCATTTCTCCCCTCTAATATGATGCAATTACGTTTGTGAGCTCGTAAAATAATATGATATATGAATAAATTTTATCGAATGAAAAAATTGAACGTAAACGTTAGAAACATTGTAAACTATATTCGTTAACATTGCTACGTTGTGGGGGGCGGGGAGGGGAAGGTCACCGGTAGAGCAACGAAAGAGATAATCTCTACAGATGGCTAAGACGTTTTTCTCGGTGTATTCACTGGTATGGCGATAAAAGTTATACGACAGCTGATTTCGAATGACGTGTTGAATGTTGAGCATTTACTTTTTTGTTTAGAATATTTTTTCTATGCACAATTCAATTTGTTAAAATTTACTATAAGTTTTTGGTTCAAAAATTACTTGAAAAAAAATGATTTGAGACAATTGCGAATGCGATTTGCAAAGTAGCAAACATAAAATGAAACATTTCTTCTTGTGGCAGAATCGGAAATGAACGAAAATTATCTATATATGAATGATGCGCCGAGGAAAAACACATACGTCAATACAAACAATTAAATGAAACAAAAGCACACAAACAAAATTATTCAGCACTTGTTGTTGTTGTTTTTTTTTATTCATTTTGGTTATATATTTACATGGTGTTTTTTTTAATTTGTTCTTTTATTCCCTCCCTTCTGTCTCGTTCTCTTTATCCATTTTGAAAACATGAATGAGCTAGTGAAATTCACTCATTGATTGCAATGACATGAAATAAGTAACTTTCAGAAATGTCTACTGATAATGTTATTCTATGAAAAGTTTGGTTTCCTTTTTTTTTAAATGAGTGTGGTTTTGCAAAGCTTTTTGTAGTCTTCTTTGAGTCTAAAGAATGATTTGTGTATGTGTGTATCTTAATCGCGATTGGTTGTGGAATCAAGTCCCTTGACACGTTCATCTTTCAGGTCATACCGCGTGGTAATTCTTATCTTGACTGAGTGAGCTGATTTCGATTAGGGATTCGACACATTTTTTACTTAAACGATATTTAGAGATTTTTTTTGTGTGTTCATTAATAAATTTAACAATGGCCTAAGAAAAATTCTTTGTTCAAACTATGTGAATTCAAAATTTGTGTGTTCTTGTCTTTTGACAATTGTTTTTCTTGTTTTTTTTTGTTCTCTTCTTCGTTATTTTTAGTTTAGTTTATAAGTGTTCAATATAATTTTGGAGAAATATTTGTATATATTAGAATGAGTAGATTCGTTCCTCTGTGTGAGAATTTCGAGTGGCCGGCTTGAAAGGAAATACCCTCTCAGCATAGATGTTACCGTAAAATTGCGTCATAAATGACCTACACTTTAATAAAAATCTATTTTCGGTTTGTAAATTACTGCGGTTTGTTTGTTTTAATAATTTTGTAGTTTTCCTAAATATTTTTCATTCATTTGAAATTGGATTTTCGATTGGATATCATGCGAGGATTATTTTAAGGAATTTCGATTTTTGAGTATTGACAACTGCCATTTGATCTGGGGTGATCAAAGGTTCAAATATCCGAATACATGATGAAGCTTGGAATATCTAGTCTTAGTTTCAGTATATCAGACCGATGGATTTAATTGCCAAGTATTGGAAATTGTAATGGGTTTATGGGCAGTAGGTTGTTGTTATTGTAATCCTGACTGTCCATAAACCCATTGCAATTTCCAATACTTGGCAATTAAATCCATCGGTCTGATATACTGAAACTAAGACTAGATATTCCAAGCTTCATCATGTATTCGGATATTTGAACCTTTGATCGCCCCAGATCAAATGGCAGTTGTCAATACTCAAAAATCGAAATTCCTTCAAATAATTCATGATATCATGTGAACGAAAACCAAATTATTCGTTAATAATACCTCAGTCAAAAACCGGGAAAAATATATTGAAACCTTTCTAAAAAAACGGATGATTTTCGGCGGATGATTATGCCACGGTGTATATTAGCCTGTCCTTATGGAATTTGCTATTTCACATAGATTCTGATGTTACCAACAATTTATGTATTCATCAATTAGTGCAACGATCAATAGCACCGAACATTGTTTGCTTTTCAGAGACGAAATTCAATGAAATTATCAGAAACATTTTATTAACTATTTAAAATATTTAAAAAAAATATTTCGTCAATAAAACGTCAATGAAATTATCAGAAACATTTTATTAACTATTTAAAATATTTAAAAAAAAAAAGATCCAAATTGTTTGTTTTTGCCATGGAATGAGTAAAATACGATGTGTATGTTTGTGGTGGTTAGACTGAGGTAGTCTATGAACGAGAAAAAAAACCATTTGAATGTGTAGCATGATTTGTTATTGTTGTTGGATAAGATGAATTTGCTATCCTTTGAGTCTGGATTAATATTCAAGCGAAAAAGGACAAAAAAGAGAAAAGAGACATTGCATAAGTCCAATCGAATAAAATGAAATGTCACACACATGTTTTCGACATAAATTTTCTTTTCTTAAGGAATGATCAAATGCGATTTGCATTTCATTTTGTATATATTTCGGTTCGTGTCATTTTTATTTGTTTGTTCGTTTTTTTTTTAGAAAATTCGTTCTATCTAAACTAGATAAATAAAAACCCTAAGAATGAGTCAATAAATTTTTTAATCTTATATTTTTCTTCATAATATATTCATCTGCCTAACGAATAAAATAAAACGATCGAAGTGAATTAAAGATGATGATTTTTATGTGTGTTTTACTTGGTTTAGTTAAGGGAATTTATGAATTTCATTACATTTAATTATGTATAATTTGTTTATTCTTGAATTTTCAATTATTTATTCCTAGATTCGTTCTCATTTTTGCTTTATCTTTATTATTCCTAAATAATTATTTGTTAATTTGTTGTTGTTGTTTTTTTCTCTGTGTGTCATTTACATATTGGTTTTTAAGTAAGTATTAAAAAGAAGTAAACAATGTACTAGCTTCTTGCTTCTATTTTATATCATCAATCCTCAATGCAGACAGTGCAGTAGCGTGTTTCGTGTATGTGTATGTGCGCGCGCTCAATCCTTCGTTGCTGAAATACGATGGAAAAAAAACGTTGAATTGATTAATTCTTTACAAAGGTTTATAAATTGGTTGTTTGTTTGTTTTCTTTTCATTTTTTTTTCTCTAACGAATTTAAAGCTGTTATTTTTCATCTGAACTAATTGCATAATCGATTTATTTTCTTCTTCTTTCTTACAAATACGTTTCGAACGGAATTGCATATTCACGTTTCGTTCAGCTCGTCTTGCGATTATGGAAAAAGGCGATTTATCGCCCATTACATGGCGTGGCGTTCATTAGTTTTCGAGTGATCATTCGCTAGTTAGTTGTCGAATCCATCCACAATTTTTGTTCTTTGTATGAACTCATATTCAGTAATTTGGCAGTTATGTGTGTTTATTTCGTTTTTCTTTGTTTTTGTTTGGGTTTAAATTCATTTTGTTTATAAGTAATTCGTGTAATTTTTTCAGTTTTATGGTTATCAATATTACATAGATGTTTCGCCGGAGTTTATGGGTATATGTTACAGATTTCTGGTTTTATTTGCACTCAACCATCTGCCCAAATTGATATTGATGGCGAGAAAAATTCTTTCATTCATTTGGTGCATGTACGTCATCTTGTTCTGCTAGTCGTTTATGGATGTGGCCGATAGTTTCATTTCGATTTCCGTTCATTTGTTTTTTCGATATTATTTTCATTTTATATATATATATATATATATATATATATATACTTTTTTTAAATGAATTAATTTTGGTTAATTAAGGTTCACAGCTCTGTTTATTATATGAATTATTTCTTTTGCAATCTGTTTTTCTTTAGATATTCCGCTGTATATTCTCATATCATAATATACTCCGTATGCCAATTGGCCGTGTTCATTTCTAAGTGTTTGGTGTGACTTCGCTTCCGAATGTAGATAATCATTGGTTTTAGATTAAGCTTCAAAGAAATAAGGTTTAACCCTAAATCATTTTTATTCGATCATGTTTTTCGTGAATCACTTTTTTTTCTCGCTCAAATTTGAAAATGTTTGACACCGTTTGGAATGTGGTTGATAATCATTTATATCGCTTGTTTTGATTTGATTTGATCACTTTTCTGACTGACATGATTTTTATATTTACATTTTATTCATAATCGGCAATTAATTGCTTTCAATCGAAATTATTGTAACTAATTGGTGTCGATATCAAGTATTCGCTCATTTTGGAAATGATACCAAGGATTGTGTGGCCTTAAATCCTATTTGAGTACTAAATTATAGTAATGCCGTAATCACTTCTGAAAATTTCCATCGTTTTTGGTCTCCTAAAAAAGCTTATGTGTCAAGTGCTCGAGAGCCTACTAGCATCAAAGTAGATGTTTTTCTTATTTATTTTCGAATTCGAAGAATAAATGTTTATATTGAGATTGACCGCCATTTTTGAATATTCGATGTAGCGTGAGAGATGAGCAAAATGGCAAACAACAGAAAAAAAGTTGTTCATGGTATTCTAATTAAATCGTGAATCGAACAAATGTTACTATCGAAAATATATTTGGAATTAAACAGTTGACAGCAGTAGTAAACGAATCAAGTAATGATGATGATGATGATGATGATGACGATGGTGACGACGAATTGGCCAATCGATTGATTTTGGGCAGCTTTTGTTAAATAATACTTTCACGGTTTCGTTCAACATCTTCAACATCAACGTCCTCGTGATCGATACTCGATGCCGACGATGCGCCGCATAATTGCATTTCGATGTCGGCCAGTCGATTCTCCAATTCCCATTGCTGTTGCGATAATTTCGAATTAAGCGCAACATTCTCATTTTCAACGGTGTGCAATCGTTCTCGTAAACGTTTGATTTCATCTTCCAAGGCTTCGTGTGAACCAAGTAATGGGGTGGCTCCCGATGAATCCAGATGCGTTAGCGATTCACATGGATGACCTGTTGGACCATTAAAACGATGAAAATTATGCTTACTAATTACTTTCACATTTATACATAAAACTGACAGCTGAATATTCTGAATTTCACGCAAATTATTTCGAACAAAGCGATTTGAAGAAAACGATAAACGAAAACAACGAAACCAAAAATCAAATTTGATGATTGAGAACCGAAAATAAAATCAACAGTTAACTAAAATGTGAGTATGTCTTTTTGAACCTGATCGACTTGGCTGAGACTGTGGTCGGAACTGATGTGATGCTGCACGACTACGTACTGGTCGTTCGTCAGAACTGTGCACACTTGGACTAATTGAGCCGGGCGAATCGATAACTTTGCTAGGACGCTCAGAAATGGGATCGCCTCTAGTTGACCGAGGACTTGGAGCACGACTGCAACACAAATCAATTTGAGATCGAGAGATAGAGAGGCGGAAAGAAGGGAGAGAGAAATAGAAAATTTTTATTAAGTGGAGCGAGAGTGGCGGCGATCGTAATTTTGAATAATTTTTTTCCTCACAAAAATAAATAGATAATGTGGTGGTTTGTTTTTGATAGTGATGCAGAAATGTTCAGTTCAAAATCAAATACCTAATCAAAGATTGTTGATTGTAGCTTGTTGGCTGTGGAGCTGAATGCAGCCACATATCTTCGATAGATATTCGACCTTTCGTTTCAACGAGTCCAGGTGTTGATTGACAACGTCCCATTGCGACTGTGGCCATGACAGAGACAGAACAAACAGAAACAGAAACACGAACATGTTCAGTTAGATTAGATTTTCATTACATAAATTTTTTTTTTGTTCACAATCTACGTAATAAAATGAATTCACTTGGAAATTCGATTTTTGTATCGGACAATTCGATGAATGAATAGTATCGCACTATGATGATGAGTTAAATAGAGGGTGGAGCGGGGATGATAATGGTGCAAACAAAAGCTCATGAAAACGGACCAAACATAGACATACACACATAACATTATGATATTGAGTTAAAACATAAAAATTGGCTCATAATTACGTTCACTTCACTTGCTCGTAATGCAATTAATTGTTAAATAGAAAATTCACCGCAAATAAAAGAAAATTTATGACTTATGACGAACAACCATGCAGTTTTTTACATTGAACTATATGGTAGATGGTTATGGAACGTGGGTTTGGTTTGGTTTTATATCTTCTTCTTTTTGTTCAGGACGTGTTCGAGTGGTTGCGGTGGAGGTGGTGCAAAGTTTACGGAAATGTTAAAAGAGTTGTGATAGACAAACAAAAAAAAAACTAATCGAATCAAACAGAAACCGCACGATTTTTTAGCATCCATTTTTATTTGATTGGCAAGAACTTTACAAAAAGTTGATAAGATCGGGGGAGCGGGAAAGAGAGAGCCAAGTCAAGCCAAGCTATCGTGTATAGCATAGGATTTCACTAATTGACTACATACTTTTCCATTCCTAATTTGAGCAACACAAAATTCAAGTACATTTCATTTTGTTTAATGTTTTGAATGTTTTCGTGACACGTACATCCAACAACAACAACACATACACATATATGAATACACACGTACACGCAAGATCAAAGGAATAAATGAAAACAAAAATTCGGAAACAAAAGCAGCAAAAGCCACTGGAATTCAAGCCAACAAACCTTTCTCCAGCGGAGCTTTTTTGTATTTTTCCAGACGTTTGACAGCAATCGCTTCTAATCGAACTCTGGCCGCCGGATATTCTTTCAGTACATCCCACATATCCTTTTTGCTAAGCACAAATAAATCACTGTAACCCACCGATCTAACACTGGCCGTTCGTCTATTTCCTGCGTGCGATAGAGATGAAAATTCATTTCGATTCGGTTCCGTTTTGATTCAGTTTCGATGTGTTTTTTTGTTTCGTTATATGCGTTTGAGCCGGTTGATGTGATGCCACAAGCATTCGGGTTAATATTTAGAAAAAAGAATGGATAAAAACAGAGAGAGAGAGAGAGAGAGAGAGAGGAAGGACAAAAAAAGCAACGTTCGGTTAATTAAATTGGTTTTTATCGACAAAGAAAGAAAACAATTCACGCTACTCTTAGCAATAAATCAGAGGGTGTTATTTGATCAAATGGTAAAAGTTGCTTTTGTCTGCACACTCAATTGTTTAGTAAGCTATTTTTCGGTTGGAGCATAACTCTTTTTGGCGCTGTTCCAAAAACACTCAATCGCCATCTGAAAATCATTCTCAAACCCCGTTCAGAAAAAAAAACAAACAAACAAGAAACTGAACGGGAATGATGGAGAATAGCAATGCAATGCACAGTTGAACATAAATGCCGAATAACGATTGACTGTTTCAGAACGAATGCACCGCATACATTGAGTTTCATTCCAACTAGTCTAGTGCCTCAAGTGTTTACCATTTGATTGAAAATGAACAAAAACACCATTTCTCTTTCAATTTTAAACGAAAACCTAGAAAATACTATCGCCGACTTTATTATTTTCTTGCTCAAAATGTTAACGGCGCACATTTTTTTCGCTTCATTTTGTTGTTGTTTTTTTATGTATAATTTACATCGAGTGAGTAATTCCACTGAAAACATAATAATTTTCAATAAACATTCGACGATGGTATTTGCTATTGGATTCGTTGAACAGAAACACAGAAGGAAAAAAAAGAACAAAATTAAAATCAAGTGAAGTATAGCATCTGAAATGTGTGTGTGTGTGTGTGTTTGTGTGTAAATAGTGAAGAAAAAAAAAGAGTTGATGCACAAAAAAAATTGTGCTCACATTACGAGACGTGTAAATTGGTTTTCGACAAAATAGCTGTGGTTTTTTTTTAAACTCTCCGAAATGGTTATTCTCTTCTTCGATAAGTTAGCATTTTGTTATTTTCGAAAACTAATTACACATCACAGCCAATTGGCATCGCATGCAAAGCGAAACCCACCAAACACTCATTCAATCCTCAAAGTTATGTCCTTTTTTTCGGTTCGCGTTTTTTTTTCGCTCTGAATGCATGCCAAATGTCAAATACTGGAATATTTGCACTAATTAAAATCAAACGCTACAAATATATTTGGTCGTTACAACGTAAATATATCTATATAATATAATGGAATATATATATATATAAATGTATATAGATTGAAATGGTAAAAATTTGTTCATAGAAAATAGTTGGTTAAATACGTGATAATTAATGGAAAGACGGTAAATAAAGATACGGCACCAGGCAAAGCAATATAAAATATATATATGGCGGAATTGAGAGAATAAATTTTACTAGTCTATGTAAATTGTATAAAAATCTACCCGAAAAGGGTAGGGACAAACACATACAGTTTAGAAAGAAAAAAAAACATGGTAATTAAACCAGAGCCGGGAAAATGCTAAAACGTTTTTTTTCTATTTTATTTTTTTCGTCAGGAGAGGAGAAAGTGGATATATATATTATATTTAAGGTATAGAACGTTACTTGATATTTAGGTGTGTTTTGTGTTTGTATGTTTCTGACAGCTTCGATTCAAAAGTTTGATTAGAAAAAAAAACATGGAGAACCACGAATAAAATAAAAAATAATGAATCTAACGAAGACGGAAGTGGACAAATGTGTTTCCCAACGAACGAGATATTTTTGTTGGTGTGAGTGTGTTTGTGTGTGATTAGTATTCCCCACTGAATGGTCAAATAAATTGAGAGAAAAAAGTACGACGAGAGGAGAGAACCAGTTTAGCTATGCTTGATGAATTTTTATTTGGCTGAAAATGTTTTTTCTTTAGATTTTTTCTTTTTTTCAAACAGTTTTCGAGACACAATCGCAACAAAATCAATATCCTATCGAAGTGGAAATGTTTGATCGGATATTATTCGTCTTACAGCAACATTCGCCTGAAGTGTGTAGTTGCAATGCTTTCAAGTAATATATATACATATATGCGTGCGTGTATGTGTGTGTGTGTGTGTGTGCCGATCTGACGGTTTTCAAACGTTTTGCTTACAGCACATTACATTTCCATTCAAATTGATACTGAATCAAGTGAAACGTAGCATAAACCATCAGCAAATTCAAGTATGTGAGAGCAGAACACAACAACAAAACAAATGAGCAAGTGAGCTGGCAGTGGCCAGCATAAAACATAAAAATAACGAAGGCACTTACTTGCAAATGCACTTCGACATGGTTTCGCTTGAAATGTGCGATTTTATGAGTAAACGTTTGAAATGAATTGCTCCACTTCAGTCACACAGATTTTCAGTCTGACTGTGTGCTTTCCGAACTATTTAAAATGTAATTACCCAAAGGACACACACACACACACACAGAGAGAGAGAGAGAGAGAGAGAGAGAGAGAGAGAGAGAGAGAGAGAATGGTATTTTCCGCATTTTGATTACAATTCATGCAATTCTCAAAAGCTCGCTTCCGTTTCGTAAACCGATGGCAACTGAAATGCAACAACAACGACAAATAAAAAATATTATGTACGCTTTCATTCGTACAGTGAGCAAATAACGCAAACTATTGCAAAAATTACGGCAATAGGTCTTTATTATACTCTTTGATCTTTTTTAAAATATTTTTCTCCCCGCTAAAACAGTAACTGGCCTTTATCCGCTCGATGCATTCAACAATTGGTACGTAACGGCTAATTGGTACTTCTCTTGGTCTTTGTCGCTGCATAGTTACAGCTCACCAATTAGCAAAGTAGCTTCGAAAAGCAAGATAAAGAAAAAGACAGAGCGAGAGAAAAAAAAATAATGAAACCATTCGAGTTGCTCTGAAAAGAAGGAAGTCGAACGGGCACAAGAGACAAAAATTGAAATACTGACAAATGATAGAAGCCAACATCGGCATGCTCGACGACCAACTAATGCAATAAAAGGCGCTTGGAACTGATGAGAAAGTTGAAAATCATTATTACGTGAAAATGCGACAAAACGGACGCAAAAATGTGGAAATCCGCAAAATGAAATTAAAGATCTCTACATGTGGAGGAGCGGGAGGAGGAGAGGGGAGAGTTGTTGTCGGTTTGCTTGTATGTGTGTAAACTACATAAACACACCGAATCAAGACAATTATTTACGTGAACCATTGTGTGGAAGTGTGTGTGTGTGTGAATATTCACCATGCGCACCCTATAGAACAGGTAGCCACATATTATACGATTATGTACGTTGACGTGTGTGTGCTTTTCTATGATGTAAAAAGATGCGAATGCTTCCGTACATAATAACGTTGATATTTTATTTCAATTCTCTTTTCCATTTTCAGATTTATGGCTTGCATCCCCATTCGAAGTTCACTTAAGTGTTTCGATGTTTGTTGTTGCGATGGCATTTTTTCAATGTGTTTTGGTTTGTGTATATATGGGATTTATTTATTTATTTTTCATTTTATTTTCTATGTTTATATTTTCGGTTTTTATTGTTGTGTTGCAACTTCTCCATCTCAGCACTACTCGATAGCTGTTGCACAATCTGTTCCACATAGACTCTCATTTTATTTATTCGCCTTTTTTTCTGGTTGTAGTTTTTTGTACACTGTTTCTTTTTTTTCTGGGTGTTTGTGTGGAATAACACAAAAATGAAACGAAAAAAGCAGAGTAAACTTCGACCGTAGCCAATGTGTTGAGCATTACCGAGTCTGGCTGTCTGTATGCATGCATGCATGCCTGCCTGCCTAAGCTGCAATGACATATGTGCGTGTGCGAGTGGTTTTTGTGTGCAATGTACATTGTACAGTTGGACGGATTTTCATGATTTCAAATTATTGTTGAAAGGGATGACAGTTATGTGACCTTCTCATTCACTTTTGCTCTTCATTATATTCGTTCGAAAACCGTAGAATGTTTGCACATAAAGACATAGCTGCAGCAGTTTATCTTGAAAGTTTATCGACGCTATTCACCCCCAAAAAAGTCAACGTGTAAAATGCAGTTTGTGAGAGAACGAGACTGAGAGCACCAAATAGATAGATAGATAGAGAGAGAGAGAGAGAGAGAGAGAGAGCAAGAGCGAAAAATGGATCAGACGAAAAGTGCAACTGTTTATTGGTTGGTGTTTTTGTCTTTTGTGATTCATGTTCGTTTATTTGTGTGTAAGTTTTAATATGTGTACGTATTATTACAAAGTTTTTAAGTAAATTTAACACTGGGTTTGTTGTTTTTATTTTTATGTTGTCCACAGCTTCATTTCATTCTTCTAACATACAGATGTATATACACAACTCCAATGTGTCTACCATACGTTTGGTGTCTATGCGATGTGGGGATGCGACACAAGGTAAAGTTGTTCGCATGTTTGCATGCAAGCAAATTAAACGGAAGAAAAAGCGAAAGATAAAGATAGAGCAAGAGAGCAAGAGAGTGGGTGGGTTTAGCCGGGCAAAATGTCAGAATGTTGAAACCATTCCAAAAGGTAATAATTAAGCACATAGAGCACAAAGGATTGAATATTCTACGGCTCATAAATGGCAAAACGAAACTGCAACAATATTCGCAAAAACTGTGGAGGAAAATCAGAAGAGCATATCAGATATGTATGTGTATAATGAAAAGTGTACAACGATAAGACTGCACTTTCACGATTTTCTGTGTAGCAGAAGAAAAAGCAACAACTGTTCAAAGTCAGTCTGCAGCTAGGTGACGTAAGTGATAGATATTCTTGGGGATAAAGAACAAAATGGATGGAATTAGGATAAATCTTATCCACCTTCTGTATCAAACCAACGCAAAACAAGCAAAAGCTTTCGTTTTAAGCAAGCATTTAGATCAGCAACCGGAGCGTGTTACAAATATCTATAGAAAATATTTGGGATCCGATTTATCGCCTTGGAAACAATTTAGATGTTGAAATGTTTACGGTTTAAGATGTTTTTTCGTCTCTTTTGCTTGGAAACTGTAGTAGGAATCGCGTTATTTAATTCAAGCAATTTATATTCACGAAATTACAATCTCGAAACTAGGTGTTTTACTTTGAGCCTACAGTTCTTTTTCTCCGTTTTCCCATTTTCTGTATCGATGGTATACAAATTTGATATACCACCCGGAACAGACCTGGACCAAATGCGTGTCTATGAATAGCATGCGATTTTGTATCTGGGATCGAGTAAAGCACTTGAGCATTTGAACAATTTAGCACGACATGTGAAGAGAATGTGATACCATCGAATGGAAATTATAATTAAATGATCACATATATGAAATTATAAATGTATTTAACGCAAAATACAACAAAGGGTCGCCTCACTACCTTTTTGTACCTAATTATTTATCAATTTAGTTTGACAACGGGTCGAGTATTTTATGATGTATCTAATTTCATCCAGACGTCTTGTATGATAATTCTAAATTAGACACCTCTCTCTCACGCACACGCACAGAGAGAGAGAGAGAGAGGGACAACCACTTCGTCTTTATCACTTAAATCGATATAAACATTTTGACAATGCCAATACGGTACGAACATAATTATTAATAGAAATGTTAATCGAGAGATTTGTCTATAGGAACCCAATAAAATTGTTCGAATTATAACATCTGCATGAAAATCCCCTGGTTTATTTATATCATTTTCCATTTTGGTGTTGTTCAACAATAATGGTCTATGTGGAAATTTACGCGTTTTGCATTCGCATTGGTAACAAAACCAAAGCTATGTCTTTATATTTCTGCTCTGCAGATGGAATGGCTTCGGCCGTGTTCCGATTGATTAATGGAAGTTTTCGGTCTACAGTTACTGTTTACATCGAAATCGACAAACGGTGATCTGGTATACCAGTCTATAGGAGTGTGTGTGTGTGTGTGTGTGTGTGTGTGTGTGTGTGTGTTTGTATAGCAGAAAAGTTAAATAGGGGAAAAAACAAATACCTGAACAGTGAACAAGTCTCAAGTGAACAAGATACACAATCTCGGTTTATTTTCCATTCGAAATCATTTATTCAATACTTGTTTGTCCTGAACGTCAACACAAATTCATGGACGACACAAAGTTGAACGAATTATTCGAATTATTATCTTTTGGTGAATGTAGGTCATACCTACAATGACTATCTCCCATTTCATTGGGACTTGGAATGCTGGAATGCCACTCGAAGTGAAACTATATCTACCAAAAAAAAAACAAAAACCTAAAATGACGGCCTGAGAAGAAAAACCTTTCCTACAAAACCTGTGCGCAGAACACAAACACAGAAATTTTTTAGTCAAAAGGCGAACATCAAATTTGCGAGCGCAAAAACCTAATATATTTACAGCGAGCGCAAAAGCATAACGGGCCTACTTATACGGAGTTTGCATGCTAGTAGGCTTGTTATACTTTTGCGCTCGCTGTAAATATATTGGGTTTTTGCGCTCGCAAATTTGCTGTTCGACTTTTGACTAAAAAATTTCTGTGTTTGTGTTCTGCGCACAGGTTTTGTAGGAAAGGTTTTTCTTCTCAGGGCGTCAAATAAAGAGTTGGTCCATAAACGTATATCTCACTCACTCTCCATCTCTGGCAGAACACAATCATTCCAAGAGAATTGTTAATTATGCATAAACAAGTGCAAAATTCAAAATCAAAGAAGAGGCAATGAATGTGCCTTCATTCAATTATATAAAAGAGGTGAAAAGGAGGGGCAGAACAATTGTTTCAGATGCATTATAATAAGTTGAAGCAAATACGCAAGTTTGAATGAGGATTCGGAAAAATGCAGAAAAAAAGCACAGACTTTTATTACCATAATATAAATACTCTAAGGACGCTATGCAACTTGCAATATAATAATTAGTGTGTTAGAAACAAAACAACTCAAACTTCGAACTCGAATTCACACGGACACAAATTATAATAATAACAATAGTTATAGAGGAATATACGATGCGTCAATCATACAATATATATTTTTTTTTTGTTTCATCCAAAGAATAGAAGAAAAAAAAACAAATTGAAATGAAACAAGACGTAGGCGTTGAATTGGAAGAAGAAAATAAAAGTGTTTAAACAAGTCTTAGTTTTGGTGTTGAATCATCAATTTGCAGGCAATCGGAGCTGTTTCACAAAAATTCATATTCAAAACTGAGAAAAAAATGTGTGTGTTGATTTTGTGTCTCTTTTCTTTTCATTATCTCATTTATATTGGATTTTATATACTTGGCCTGGGCGCTGTCGATATTTACCAAGCTCTTTACCTGCTGTTCCCATATTGAGAATACTTATTTCACCGAAATAACAACCTGCCTTCAGTGATGCCATCACAGTTTTACCATTATCAGCGACAACTTGTAATCGACCACGATTTACTATATACATTTCCTTGCCAACTTCACCTATATGCATCGTTAGTTTCCGCATTCGATCCGTGAATCCATTGGGTTCAGTTGTTTGTTGTTGTTATTGAGCAGCACGACACGGCAGAGGAACACCGAGATGGGGTAAATGGAAGACGACGAAATGAAGACAGGAACAAAAAAAGGGGTCGAAACAGCGAGAGAGAGAGAGAGAGAGAGAGAGAGAGAAAGAAAAAGAGAAAGATATGCACAGAAATAGAAATTAGAAATGTCACATCAGAATTATATTGCTGTTTCTGTTTCACTTCAACACTATGCTCACACGTCAATAAGCAACCCCAAAAAAGGGTTGCATAATTATAAAACTTGCTGTGAGCTTTACAATTGCAGTGAACAAAACAAAAGCCTGCATAAATTTCCAATTTAAGCGACACACTTTCCAAACACTGGGCCAAACAATAGATTAATGCTGTTTGGAACTCTCCGGGAGAGCGAATGGTGCGCTCAATGACATCCATTCCAAAGTCAAATGAGTGATTTGGATAGATGTCGTTTAAGTTTCGATTTTTTGATATATTTTGACAGGCGGCTAACAAAACAAATAGACAGGCACCATATCGTCCTCATTCATTTCAACGGTGTGATAACACAGGTACGAGGAATGAAAATACGGATTCCATGAGAAAAAAAAAATGTTTTTGGTATTTTGACATGCCTTCAAAAATACGTTACCTTTTCTGCAAATGAAATCGCCAGGTGAAAAAACAACCGGTCGCAATCGCAATACTAGTTCGCATAGGAAACCAGCCTCAGTATTTTGGAATATTTCTACACGTTTCAAAGTATCTAAATGGACGTTTATTGCTATTTCAGCCTGTTATTGTTTTTTTAGGGGAGAAAAAAATCGAAAACAAGAAAGATAATATCATGACAAAATGGTCAAAAGAATGACTTTTTATTTTTCATAAATCCAAACTTGCTAGTACTCGTACTTCATTAAAATTTTTATACGAAATTCAAATGTAGTAGAGCGGAAGTGCTGTGAGGAAGCGGATTTTTTTTTTCAAGGAAAAGAAAATTCTGAATTTTCGATGTTCAGTCACAAAGCGCCTGATTCCTCCCTCCCCCACAAATCAACAACATACCGGAAACCGCTCCCTCACTCACACACCACTCTCTAACACTCGGTATGTGTATGTCAAAAGCACTTGAACAACAAAGTAACATAAAATGACATTTTTTCCCATCTTATATAGTTCTTTATACAGTCAATTTCACGAAAAATTCATGTGAAATGACTACTCGGTGCTTTCATCTTATTATTCGAAATCCATGTACCAACAATTTGGCTCAACGATCGTGGCACGTGCCACCAGGTCATTTTCAATACTTACCAAATCTTTCAAGTTTCTAGCTAAATGAATTCATTCGATAAATTCGTTTTGGCAACTCTCATTGCTGCAAATTCTCTCAATTTCTCCATTTTTTTTCCTTCATCGTTACGTGCTTCTTCAACCATTTGGAAACTACATGCAATTTATCCGCATTTCTGGCACATTATACCGTTGAATGTTCAACATTATTATTGAGTTGAAAAATTGATAGATTCGGCGAGGGGAAAAAAGCATACACGATCGAATTGCAATTTTTCTCATTTTAATCGAAAATATCAGGTTATGAATCATAAACGATGAATTGAATCACCTGTTCAAGTTTTTGGGTAATGCATTTAAAATTCTATATTTTCATTGCAACGTTTCCAATGATGTTCAATTTAAAATTAATTTTTCTCCACTCATCGTCATCATTATCGTTTCGGATTAAAATTTAAGATTACCCGACGTGTGTACTAGTATATCATCATTTTTCTACCGTAAAGAATGATGATTCGGTTATAAATGCTGCAGAATTGCCATTTGATCATTGCGAAAGACGATGGCAGAAAAAAAATGTGATACAAGAAAGTAATCACTTTTGCGACGAAAATTAACAATAAATATTCAAAGCGATGCGTTACAAATGAATGTGTTGTTCACAGATCTCGCAAGGGGATGCAATAGCATGTTTGTTGTTGTTGTTGTGTGGTTGAACAATGAATAAATGACATGTATTACATGACAATAATACATATATGAATCGGGGCGTTGTTAAAGTAAAATAAAGATAAATGCCCTCGCTGATCCAAACGCTAGTCATTTTGTTTGCAAAGTTCACTCATTGTAATGGCGACGAAAATGGGGAACGAGAACAAATAATGTGAATGACAGTGACAATGAACAATGTACCATTTTTTTCCCACAATCCTCAAATGGATAAAGTTTTTTCTTTGCTCTGCCAACAGAGGAAATGATTGTGAAGTGATTGAGGATCTTTGCAAAACAGAAAAAGGGAATAGATGAAGGCAGGGGAAAGCACAGCAGTCATATGAACCGAATCCGAAATCGACATGAAAACGAAATATATATGGTAAATTGCGACAATGATACAGTTTGTAAATATAACGAATTTATGTATATATTGAGTGTTGTCGGGTGGTAGATCAGGTTTCGAGCATTTCGATCAAATTATTATTTTCCCGGAGCCTTTAAGCATAATAGAGTTACAATTCTCGTTTTCAAAGTGCACACCTCATATATAATGAGATTGTTAGAGATAGCTAAAAGTCGATTTCCTCTTCTAACTCATTCTACTGCACAAGAAACGAAATGGAAACGACAGTGCATGCGGTCCAACACTCGATGCTCAATATCTTCGTAAACTATTTTCGTATATGATGAAAATGATTGAAGTGAATTGCTGAGCTACCAAATTGACATTCTCCATCTCCTCGTCTCGCTGTCTCTTTCTTTGTCGTCTCGTTTTCGTCCGCACATTCAACATATCTCTTTCGTAGCAATTTCATTTATTCGTTTGAACGAAATTCTTGTTAAATGTCAACTCTTCCGATTTCGTCATTTTATCATTTTATCTACTGGATTTCACCACCGTTTCATTTTCCGTGCTTTTCTTGCCAAATTTTCCACTATTCGAGGTTTCCTTGACGAGCGCGCAGCCTATTTTCAGCTTTCAATAATCATTGAAAGCTCATGACTCAGTTACCAATACAAGTGCTGTATAATGTGCTAGTCGAATACCACGTGTTATGCGAAACACGATTCTTATGAAGGAAGAAAAAAACTGCCATAATGTTACTTTGTCATTTCTTGAGCAAGAGAAAAATGCATTGTACCACAATTTATAACGATATATAAAATGAAAAGATAGATATAAATTGTTACCTTTAATTTATCAGGAAGACACGATACAGCTCGTTCCTCGTCCGAACATTTCTGTGATAGCCATAGATAGTCAAACCATTTTATTACTTTCACTTGGAGATGATTAGGCACACGTCTCATTCGCATATATGTTTTTACACCATCCAATTTAGCTGTGTGTGTGTGTGTGTGTAGCGAGCATATGAAATGAAAATAAAAAACACAATTAATTTCCGTTTTTCACATGACGATTCATGCAAATTAGTTTGTGCAGACAGATGAGAGGAAAAAATGATGATTCGCATAAATTTAAATGGGTATTTAAATTGGAATGATATTCAAGCTCTCGCTTAGTTGGGATTTCGTACGCTCTATTTTTTTTTTCTTGCATCGTTTGATTCAACAGTAAATCGTCCAGGTGAGAGCGTCGAAAGCAATTTCTTATTTATATTACTCGGTTAAATGACAGCAGTAATTAAATTACAATATAAATTGCAATAATGTTTCGGAAAGTGAATTGAATTTAATATTAGCCGCACCTCGATTGACAGAGCATACCGGATATGAACATGTAAACCCCCGCACTCGAATGCGACTCACACTAAAATGTGTTATTATAATTGCTTCATTTCTATGTATGTATGTGGTGTCCCAAGCAAAAATTCACACTGAATTGACGTTGCGTTAACGCATGTCTGGCACTGTTCTCACACGGTTTTGAACGTTAAACCGTGTGGCTGTAGTATAATAGAGTGTGAAGCCGTTTGGCATCATTTTTGATTTCAAATAATCGTGTGGATGCAGTGTAAGTTTGTTCGGGTATCAAGAGTCGATACCAGAAATGGTTTCAAAATTCGCCATGATAACGCAACGGTCAGACACTTCGATGCTAGGGGGTAGACACGAAATAGCACTAGAAGAAAACTAGCAAAAATTGAGCATACTAGAAGTTACTAGAAGAATATTTGTGAACAAAATGAGTGATGCCTCTTCCATAAGAATAGCATTGCCAGTGGTTTTTATATGGACAAATTCTTCCATTTAAAATATACTGCCAATGCTTTGCTTATGGAGTTCAAATGTTTTGTTTACAAAAAGTACCATTAATCCTTCCATAAGAAATGCATTGGCAATGCTATACTTATGGAAGAAGCAATGGTACGATACTAGAAATACTAGCAGAATATTTGCGTTTCTGCTTGTATACTAGAAAAACTAGAAGAAACTAAACGCATATTTGAACCGATTTGAACAAACTAGCTATACTAGAAATTGGTGTCTAACCCCTAGCTTCGACGACATGGTTTTAAATGTAAAACAGTGTGGCTTTCACACTGTCCAATACAAACTTACACTGCATCCACACGGTTATTTAAAATCAAAAATGGTGTCAAACGACTTCACACTCTACTATACTATAGCCACACGGTTTGACGTTCAAAACCGTGTGAGAACAGTGTCCGATATGTGTTAACGCAACAATTCTGTGTGAATTTTTGCTTGGGTTTGTTTGTCTGTCTGCGCGCGTGTGTGTGTGTGTGTGTGCGGGCGGGTGGGCTGGTATGAGAAATGATGATGTAAATGTCGATGTTGATGATTCTAAGCGAATTTAATTTGACGCCACTCTACACGTCATAAATTTTCAGCCATGAACGTGATTGCAATGATATACCAGCATTATTCCATTTATCTAAAGCATATAGGTTTACGATGGCAGAATTAAATCGGCAAAATGACTTTTTAAAAACCGTTTTCATATCAGCCGTTCTTCAGGCCAAATGCACATTTCATTGAAATGGTTTGGAATAGGATGTTATTAAATCGACGGACATTTACCATCTGTCGATGGGTGTGCATGTACACGTACACAGAAAGAGAATTTCAACTCTTACAAATTTACTCATTTTGATTTGAAGATTTTTTTTATATATTTAAACATAAGACTTTGATGATATTATATTTTTAAGGAATTTTCGTAGGTATTTTAATATTTTATAATATAAGGACATACGTCTACATCGTTGTCATACTTCATTAAGATGCATACACGGCATCTCTGATCGACGTAATTGAAGAAAACTTGTCTACAAACTATTTCTCAATTGAATACTTGAAAATTCTAAGCAAATAATTTCCCCCAGTCCAATTTCTCGTTGCATACCATAGGAAAATATTAAATGTGTATCTTTTGAAGTAAAATGCATAAAATGTGCACTCAGCTCAAATTTCCGTTATTTAATTTGATTTGAACCCCGTTTTTAAGACGACTTAACCACTTTGAAAGTTCTGTACGGGAGTTGAAATTAAATGAAATTTTGTTTATCTAAAAATATGCATAATTTCAAATTCGTTTCAATTAAATTCCGAGCGTGACTTGATGGCCATGGAATAATGCGCAACGGGGTTTCAAGATGCAGCGAAAGTTTACATGTCTACTAGGTATAGTCGCTCACATTTTATGTTTGGGAGTGAAAGAGAGAAATAATTTCTTGCAACGAACACAATTTAACGATGAGATGATACGGCACACATAATCCCTTTCGAGTAATTATTTAAACATAAAATTCACATCCAGATCATCCGTTGCTAGTCCAAACACTACGATATTAATCCATCACCATGAGTTGGAACTTGATAATGATTCCGCTTGCTAAGATAGTGTGTATAAAACACGGAAATAAGATTTACGAAACTTTGCTTAGTTTTAAGTAGTGTTTTGGGTTTTATTGAATTATTGAATTATGTTCAAGTGATTATAAATAGAGTCGTTTCGTTTCTTTTTTCTTCATCTTCTTACATCTCGTCCGTTTCCACTTCCATATTTTTGCAAACCATTGGTGCAAGGCGTGCGAACAAGTGTTTGAAATGAAACCGATTTGATTGTCGGGTGTGTGTAGCCATCGTTCAAGTTCTGTTTTACAATCGCCAAGTGAATTATTAAAATTGCACGATACACCATTTTCCCATTGAAAGTCTGAACTAATAAAAGTCCTAATTGGCATCCGAACAAATCGATTAATTTAATGTGCATTTTATAGCTGTCTCACTCTCTCTTTCTCTCTTTCTCAACTGGATGAACACCCTTAATGGCGATTTCTTTGCAAGCTCTTATTCGTTCATTTCATTTCGTTTTCATGCTTTTTAATCACAATTTTCCTCAATATGTCGACCCATTACGACTCATTTGTACATTGAAAATGGTCGTTTTTACCATTGAACAATTTTGTGACAATTGATTTGATGGTGATTTTGTTTGGAAAAGTCATTCGTGCTTGCTGCCAAACACAAATGGAATTATTACAGTTTAATGCGATTGATTTTCAATCTTACGGCCGTGCAAAACCCCAATTACCATCAATTACAAGAAACTTGTTTAGCTCAATAATTGAATTGTGTTCATCACTAGACCAAGGTAAAATGGCTGGTGATAACAATTGCAGAAGAACAAGAAGAACACCTTTAAAATTCAAATATGCCATTTCTTTGTACAGCGATCAGGAGAGATCAACCCAAGCATATATACTAAGAATATGTAATTGATCCAATGTGCACTTTACACGCTTCTATCCATTTTTTTCCGCTTGTTTGATCGTTTCTGTTATATTTCCTGCATAAATTCGTAGGAGATAATCGGTTAGTGGAAGTTTGTGGCATGTGCGGGTTTGTTTACGTATGTGTTTATTGTATGACCATTCAATATGGAATGGTGTATGTGTATGTCAAATGTGAAGCAATATAACATATGCACAGAGAACAACGGCACAAAATAAAATAAACAAGATTCTCAATTTGTATTTAAACAAAATCGCTTCATGGCTCTAAGCCACAATCAATTTTTGTCCCATCTTTTTCACACACCTCTCACTCCGTTGCTGCCGTTGAATGTTAATTATAATGACATTGCAGTAGTCCGAGACCGGTTCCACTCTACCCTCATTCATAATCCAATGAATGCGCACATATATGGTGCCATGGTGCGACGGTGAATAACAGTTGTTTCAATAATCTCTCTCTCTCTCTCTCAGTGCAACTGAGAGGCGGCGACGGGCGCTACAGTATTTTCCACGTTTTATATCCTTTGTCTGTTTATTGCGGTCATCTAATGTGACTGTGTATGCAATTGGCCAGAATATTCATACTGCCATATACAGAACTGATCGGCATAATGCAAAACACAAATTAGAATTAGTTTCAAAATGCAATTACCACTTGATTTCTATTAATTGGTAAATATAAATTGGATTTTAAGTGAATGGAGTGAGGCGAAACGGGGGGAGAGAGGGAACTAACGAGGCAGAACCATACACATACGTTATGACACGGCCAAAAGCTCAAGTCCATTAGTCCACGCTGCTCAACCAGCAATGATAAATTTCGGGTTATTATTTGTCAATGTTAAAGATAACCGTTTTCGATTCGATGGTTGTTATTACCTAATGCCTGTGTATGTTTCACCTGGTCCGTTTGCCCCGCCAATCTCATGTTTTCATAAACAGCAAGCATAAAAATAATATCACATGCGAGAGCCGGAACCAATGAGCAAGCAACGGTGGAAAAAAAAGAAGAAGCTAGAACGCTTTTGAATACACGACGACTGCAGAATTTGTGCCGTTGTTTTGTGTTTTTAGCGCATTTACTTAGCGTAGCAGGGCAATCATGTATGTGGCATCATTAACAAACACGTTCCCATAAATACACATTTTTGACTATGAAATAAATGAATTGTCGTCATCGCTGAACATCATTAATGCTATAATTAGATTTTAGGACATGAATTTCGTTTAAAACTTGGTCCAAAACGACAGCAGCAGCAGCAGCAGCGGCAACAAGAACAAAAATGCGTTCGTATTTAATATTAAAATTGGAATAGTGTCACATTCGATGCAAGCATTCAACATATTCAACGTCATGGTATGTGATTTTTTTTTTCTCTCTTCTCTTTAACGTTCAATCAGGAAATTAAAGGTAATGCTATCACTATTTGCACATGTGAGCTTTAACCGGCCAACCGACTGACCTCTATTGTGATCTGTAATGTAAACAATATTTGATTCCGGAAAATCGTATCAGGTGACACGATACAATATCCGAATTAGCGTTATATGAGGAATTTTCAAAAAATTCATTCGATTCATACGAATCAAGTTTCACATGACATCACACAACATGGTAA